CTGGGAGAGAAATTGTCATCCGTCGACCACAAATACAAAACAAATCCATCAGATGGAGGCAGGGAACATCACAAGTGGAGGAATCAATAGTTTTCTACACTTGGAGGATAAAAGGCACTCTGGAGGCCTGGATGTAGAAAACAGCTTGTTTTTTCTTTTTTTTTTAAAGAAACAAACTAAATCTGAACTGTTGTTGTAGCTTAAATCCTGATGCACCTCTATTCATATTGGCAGTGAAACAAAATTGTTAGGTAAATTGTATTATTATCAACTATTTGTTATATCTTTATTATGTTCTTAGTTTATGTATACTTACTTATTTAGTTTAGTCATATGTTTTAAGGAATGTTTCTGTATTGTTAATCACTCTGGCTTCGTTTCTCAGAGGGCCTCTCTGAAGAAGAGCAGTGACAGCAGCTCTTCTCAGAACGGCCTGCTTTGACCTCTTAGATAGCTATAAAACCATCGCCGTGAAGATGTACAACTTGTCCTGCTTGATCCTGGGTCAGGAACTGGATAAGCTAGTGCGAGATAGATTGTGTTGTTAGTTAGCTATAATCTTGGCGCTGTGACTGTGTGATGAAGTGTCTTTTCCCCTCCCCTTAGAGTTACAGCGCTCTCTGTGATTAGGGATCCTAAAGACAATAAAAAGAGAGGGGCAGGCAAATGTGCTTCAGAGCAGTAGGAGATTGTAACTGAAAGCACATCTCTGTCTGTTCTCCTCGCGAGTATTAAGAATCTAACTTTCTCTTGTCTTTCCTGTATTATGTGCTGTGTTTAATAGGTGTCAACCCTGACAAAAATCAAACTTGTTTGTTATGAGCAGGCCTTTATTATTGTCCTTATTAAGCTTTTCCAACCCACAGAGCAACGTGACAATAAACTGAGCCAATGCCTGCTAATCAACATCCAATCAACCCCCTGGGGGAAAACATTTTAAACCTTCTGGGATTTTTTAATGGCTCAAGATATTTCTGATTTTATGAAATTTCTTCCTTTGTCCTAATCGAACCAAGTCGATGTTTTCTATCATAACAGCAAATTGTCACAAGGCAAGTTGTTGTGCTTCATGTGGTTTAGGTACTTTGGTGTTGATGGAAAGTTCTGTTTCTATTGGAGTAGCAGAATCAAATAAAGTGTCTCAAACAAAGAGGAAGCCACTAAAGAAGCTTAGCTCTCTTCTGGTGATTTTGGAACCTTTGGAGATGATCTTGCAAATAACAACGCATTGATTCAACAAATGTTTCTTCAGTCAGAGGCTTTTTAAGACGTGCTATGACCGTCCCATGACTTCTTCAAGAAACAAGGCAAAATCAAATCTCCATTTGAGATTTAAGATAACAACTAGGGAATGATATGATAGTGTATTAGGGCTGTTGTGGTTAAAAACAAAAAAACAACAAAAACCCCCTTCAAATTCTGAGATTAATCTCAGAAATTTTCTTGAAAAAATGACATTTGTGCTCTCCAACAGTAAAAATATGAGGAAAAACTCAGAATTTTTTTTTAGATTAATTTCAAAATTAATAGACTTTAAGTTGAACTTCAAAACTCAAAAACTCAGAATTTTCAAAAATCCAAAATTAAATACTTTACAAACTCAGAAAATGTCCACATTTTTGTAGAAAATTTCTGAGATTTCAACAGTTTTGGTAGAAATGTACTGCTTTTTCTATCTGCAGTGTCTCTACACGCCGTCGTAGGCTGGGACTTTAACATGTTCATTTTGATTAATATGTTAATTACATAGATTTAAATGTGTTAATTTATTATGCAATAACTCACTTTTAAAAGCGAGCCGGAACCTTTCGTATTGTGTTTCCGGTACGCCCCCAACTCTGACGCACAAGCTGCATCCGCATACAACAGCGATGGAGGACAAAGCCGCTTCTCTTGACACACCCAGGTAAATTTTTTGCTTGTAAAAAACGACCGGAGGAGACGCTGAAAAAGATTATTGTTGTGTACAAGTTGTGCTAAAAGGAGATAGCCTATTAGTGAAGCTCGTCAAACCTAAATTAGCATCTCAATGCTAAACATGTAGCAGCAAACAGACGCCGCCAACGTCCACATTTCTACAGAAGGTAGATGGGTATAGTAACACTTTAAGCAGATATGATGGTTGAATAACCTAAAGAACATATTAAAAACAATTGGTAGCAAAACTACTTTTGAATAAAAAATGTTGCTTATTTTGTTTATATGGTTTATGATTTGAGAATTAATTAAGATACTTTAATCGAGCCTCACCACTAATTAGTGAACGAAACCAAGTGGTTTATACTGTTGGAAACTGGACTCATTTAGGAGCCTTGAAATATCAGCCCAACCTGAGCAACAGTAAGAAATATTACTCCTTCAGGGCTGCGCTATTTGTCAAACTGATAAAAATCTACATATGCGCACAGTGCTTATCAGTTTGGATGTAAGATTTGGTGCACAAAGACACTGTGCACCGTAGCAGATTACCTGGAAGACAGGATTAGCGAAGGGAGAAATGGCTGCTGCTAAACTCAGAGAACTGAAGCTGCAGAACCTCAGAGATGGGTTCAGTTCCTGGGATCAATGTGTTATGTAACGCTTGGCCACTTTAAACTGCATTAGTGCACTTTAAAGTGCTTTACACCTTATTAAAAACACAAAAATCCAAAGCCTTAGACAGAGTTGGGTAGTAATTGGTTACATTTACTAGAGGAGTATTTTCACTACGCTTTACTTTTACTCAGTAATTTTATTATGAAGTATCTTTACTCTTAAGTAAAATGTCTGGATTCTCTTGTGAATGAAGAACAAACATGTTTCAACTAAAAATCCACCAGACACAGACACACACCTGTGTGTGAAACTTTTATTGAAGTTTTATTGAAAGAAACTGATTTGGAAACATTTTATTTTTTATTTACATGAATTATTGTCATTTTGGTCCTTAAAACACCAAAATTTCCTCTTAGCTTGATATTTTGGTCCAGCTGATGTCGTAATTTTAAAATATTAAACGGTTGATAATGTGATCAGTTACTGGGGACCTGAGTAGACTTTTTTACCAAATTCTTTTTATGCTTGGATGGCTACTTTTTACTTTTGCTTGAGTAAAAATATGTCAAAGTAGTGCTGCTTTTGCTTGAGTAAAATCTTTGGGTACTTTACCCACCTCTGACGGCGCCACACACTCAACAACTGAGAAAACCAGTAAGCATGACAATTTACCAAGTGCCATCATGACACATCGTTCCTTTATTACGTTTCAAAATTAACTCTAAATGGGGATTTCGGCCTTTAAATGAACTTGGTGTTTCAGCTGTTTTGCAGTTTTTGGAAGTTTGTTTCAGATTCCTTTTTTCATTCCTTTTAGGAAGAGCAAACTTCACACCATTACCATTCCAGTAATGAAATCACTTTTATTGGTTGGTTGGATTCTAGGAACATAACAGTTTTTTTTAATTGGTTTTTATCTTATTATATCACATGTGGTTTCACAGCCTGGGTCTCCAGTAAACACACGCAGACATCTGTGCCAGCTCCGTCTGGTACGCTGCACAGCCGATCAATCTCTCCGTAAGCCAGTTTAAGCCGTCTTGAGCGTGTAATGTCCCCCCCTCCATTTCCAAAATTAATCTTTGGCAGGAAAACATGTTATCAACAAGGAGAGAAATCTTTTAATACTGAATCAACAATCTTTTATCTCATAGCTTTATGCCTTAATCTTTCGTGTCTTGGTTTGGTGACTCCGTTCTCCATTCATCGGTCTGTTTCAGTGCAGCATGTTTGAGCTTTGATTCTTCTGTTCAGTTGGCGAATCGCTTGCTCTCATATCTGCTCCAGATGTGCCTTTTGGTGATCTAATCCTCAGATGATATTTCTATGAAATCACAAAATTTTTTCGAGTTTTTTTTTTCTATAAAAAGTTCTGTTAGCTTAATTGGCTTTTGCCTTGCACGATGTGTAGAATCCAACTGGATTCAGAGAACGTAATGAAGCTTCCTGTGCCTTTCGGTTTTGATATTTTTTAAAGGTTTGAATGGTCGCTGTGTTGCTCTTGGTTGCAGCTGCAGATGTTTTAATCCAGACAAAAACCAAAAGATGAACAACAAAAATTAGCTTAACGTTGGCCTAATCTCATTGCTATCAATTAAAATGTTTGAGTTAATTGCAGGATCTGTAGTTCATTACATTTTCATCAAAAGCCACATATTTACAAAATAAGCAACATTTTCAGTCAAAAACAAAGATGTTTATTGTTTTTGATCTGTTGTTCAGGTTATTCCACCATCCGATTGGTGCAAAGAGCTTTTCTGCTCATTCAGTTTCCAAGTGTTTGAGGAAACCCTGATCATTAATGCAACTTCTTTGAAAAAATATTTCTTTAAAAATGTGGTGAATGGTTCATAACTTGGGTTCAATTGGTTAATTTTATTGTTTGTATGTAGTTATCAGGATCTCAATCAACATTTTTTGCCACTTGTGGAGGAAAAATTTTAAGTATTCATGTGCTTGATGTGTGTTCTCTGTTCAGTTTGAATATTAAACCAAACAAAAATTTAATATGCTTACTACTGAATACGTCATTTGTATTATTTTAAAAACTGACAATTAAAAATACACTGAAAGAATAAGACGGCTGATCCAACTTAAAATTTAAATGTTACAAATTTTCAAATTAAGTTTGTTCAAACTAATATATTAACTTTATTATGTTGCCATGTTAAACAAACATAAATAGTTTGACAAACTTAATCTGATTTGATTTGGAGCTCAGAAATGTACTTATTTCTGGAAACGTTTTTGTTTGAAATGAATTTTTAAATTTTTTTCTATGAATACTGTTAATACGCCGTCATGGTTTTTGCATATATTCATTGGTTTAGAAAAAAAAACAAAACTCTGGAGAGGTTAAATATAAGTGCACGCCACACTTTTCAGATTCTTTAAAAATATTTTTTTGTTTCCTAACATATTATTACTTGTTAGTCTCACATGAAATGTCAAAGTTAAAGACTAACCTCTGGCAGTTTCTCTCCTCTCTCTAGAATGTCCTGTAGGTGGCGCCCTCTTTCGCTGTGGCTCTGCATCTCGCTACACAACAGGTCGCCCAGGGTGACGTGGCGCAGGCCGAACCGCTCCTCCAGCCGTTCGCACTGCAGAGCCTTCCCTGAACCCGGCCCGCCTGAGACACAGACGGAGATCAGTCAATATCCTCAGCAGCTGCGGGGAACGACCCGCAGCGCAGGCAGGATGAAGTGGAGGAAATTGAAAGGTGAGAGAAGAGCAAGGAGGCAGAAAGAGGATGAGGATGGTGAGCGAGCGAGCTTTATTTGTGTGTGGCCACTTGCTTTTTTTTTTTAGGAGTGAAAACAAAACAAGCAACATAATGGAGGAAATCAAATAATTATCGGTTTTCACTAACAAAACATACCTACACTGCACAAACTGATTTAAAAAAAAAATCTAAATTATCTATTTATTTTGCTGTAATTTTGTAAAATGTTTAGCCAACTTGTATATTTGCAATGAACATATGTTGTTTAAACCAGAGCTACATTTACTCGGTTAAGTTTTTGGCATAAATTTACTGTTGGAAGTATTTTTCCTGTGCTCTAGTTGCTTTTGCTTGAGTAATTTTATTATGAAGTATCTCTACTCTTAGTTGAGTAAAATGTCTGGATTCTCCACACACTGAATGAAAAACAATGTTTAAATCAAAAATTCACCAGACAGACACGCATGCAGTTTTATTAAAGTTTTTTATTGAAAGAAAAGGATTTGTAAAAATTTCTTTTGTCTGATTTTGTTATTTTATAATTATTTATATAAATTATTTTCATTTTTATATTTAAAATACCAACATTTCCACTTAACTTTGTATTTTAGTCTAATTATGTAATTTTTAGATATTAAATAATTTATATTTTTGATCTGTTACTCAGTAACTGAGTAGACTTAACCAATTACTAAGTCCATTTCGAACCGATTCCCTCCAGCACTGACCTCCAAATCCAAAATGGCTGCCCTGCATATTACAAGGTGTTGAAAGTTGCTGTAAAAAAGTTATTCTCACTTGTGTCAGCTTTAAGGATTAATTGTTTCATGGATTCATTATTCTCAACATTATGATGGATATTAAATAACCTGCATGTCTTCAGTTTGCAGCTGGTCAGATGTGGAATATTTTGAATTTTACCATCTTAACTGCTAGCTTTGAACACATCTTTCCCGCTCAGATGGATCTCACCATCCTCACAACGCCTGAATTTAGATGCAGCTCATATTTTACAGACTATAAAACCAGGGAGGAAAACAAAGACGGCGACATTACATACAAATACGCACAATAAAGCTGTTACCATTTGCTAATTGCATTCTAGTTTGGGTTTAAGGTCAGAGGAAACCCCTGCAGGCGGATTTTAACGCTTGCAGGTGAAATGCAAAGCCGGGTGATTTATCAAAGCAGCCTGGAGCCAAGTAATAAAAGCTGGTGCTTTATATTCATCGATATCCTCCTGGAGTTGGACTGTCGCTGCTCTCTCACATGCAGAAACAAAACGTCTCCGTTTCCTCAGAGACCGATGTGAGCTCACCTCACAGCCCAAAGGAAACAACAGATTATAGATTTATCTGGCACTTTTATCAAAAAGCACCGATTGAACGTTTTAACAGCCAGCAGGATGCATTTAGATTGGAGAAAAGCAATTAATTTATATTCTTTATACAATGTTGAGCACCCAGATGACATGGATCGATTACAGCTTAAAATAAATTATTTTCCAATGTTTATCTCCATTTAAAAAAAATTAAAAAGTAGAAAAAAGTAGCTTTCAATTCAAGCTTCTAAGAATTGTGAGTTATTGTTGGAGAAAAACTTCAGAAAAAAGGAAATAAACTTAAAATAAAATTACCGATTGATCCTCAAACAAGCTTCAGAACTAGAAACCAGATTATTTGTATAATTTTGACATCATAATAATTTGAGAAAATCCACCAGAAAAATCAAACCTGTGCATCCAGATATAACCTGCAACGTTTATATGATTAAAAAATGATTGATTTCCTGCTGTCCATAAGTTAATGAGTCAATTTCAAACTTAAGACAGAGAAAAAAAATATCATACTAAAATTAATGCTTATTTCATGTGACTGAGGTCAAACTGTTGTGTTCGCAGCAAAATGGACTTTAAAAAGAAACTGGAGGAAGAGAAACGACGTAAATAAAACCTAACAAGTGGCAACAATTTATCCAGAAGTTGATATAAATGAACCATTTTAAATCAGAATATCTAGAAAATCTAAAAATATGATAAAGTTTAACAATAACTTTACAGAAATCACTTTTATTCCTGTTTTATCAGATTTCTACGGTTCTGTTTCTACTTAGAAATAGAAACTAGGAGTTGCAGAAATTATTTTTGCATTTTTTCCAGACCAAAGCCATTTATGTTGACTTTGATGTGAAAGTTTTTATGTTTACAAAAGCTATAGTAAAACAAAGCGATCGCATCAAAATCGACTCTGTTCTGCAAAATTATTCTAAAAACTGATTGGCTTTCAGCAAAAAATGCAGTTATGAAAGACCAAAACGTGCAAATGCACTTAAGATAATTCAGATTTGCTTCATTTATTTCCTCTCAGATTTGATGAGCTGAAACATCCCAGAATGTGAGAACATGATGAGACACCGTGACAGGAAATAAATGAGGAAGGTGATGTTACACGAGGCGAGGAAGGTGGAAAAATGAAGAAAAATCACAGATTTAATTCAATTTCCTGATTCTGCTCTGTTGCGTAATCATTTTCTTCATGTTTTAGTGGCTGATATTTAGACCTAAATGATAAATGGGAAGCAGCAGAGACGGCTTATTGCCTCCACTAATTAAGACGTCTCAGTTTTTCACACAGGGGCTGATGGTTGGCAGTGAACACACACACACACACACACACACACACACTGAAGGAGGAGAGATGACTTCCTGCTTCGTCTTTATTAAATTTACATTTATTAAAAGTAAATTTTCTTTAATGTTTGCGCTGTCGGGTTTGATTTGGTTTCTGATTCCCTCAGGTGTAAAATACTTTTATTCTGAAGGAAAACTTTCAAAATTATGACCCCTCTTTATCCCTTTTTTTGTTTTTTCTGTTTTTGTTAAAATTCACCCATCATCTAGTCATGTAAAATGTTACTTAATGAAAACAGAAACAAGCTGTTAAACTCCAAAAAACAGTCAAATTGGAGTCAGTTTGACATCTTTTAGCAGGATTTCATGATTATTGGGAGGCGAGTAAAACCCTGATCAGTTGTAGATCTCCTGATCTTTATCTGCTTTAAATTATATTTAATTCCACAATATCATTGCTTAAACTGAAATAAAGCCAAAAATTGGGACATTTTGTGGAAAACTATAGATTTTAAAGCTTACAGGATTCACTTTATCAGCACTAAGTTATTTTCACAATGACTTAATTTTTTTCTTCCATTTCAAAATGAAAAAAATCTAAAAATTTGAGTCTGAAAAAGTGTAAATTTTTCTGTTTTCAATATTTAAGTTGAAGAAACGTAACAAAACTTTCACAGCTTTCAGATTTTATATAGATCTATCTTTTTTTTTGGTTTGCATCATCTCCATTTCAGAATCTATTACAAGTAAAAACGAATCGGGGCTAAATATAGTTTATTTAAAGTAAAGTTTGTTTGCTTATGTTTCTTTAATATCAGTGTTTTTGTTCTGTTTACTGGTATCTAAATAAAACCTTAAGGTCTTAAGATTCAGTTTTCTGGAGCCTAAAAATGGTGAATTTACTCTTTTCTTGAGTTTTTTCATGTTTCATGCAGAAATAAAAAAAACAAAAAACAAAATATTGACGGTTAAAATGTAAAAATTTTTAACAAATAAACTAATATATAAAAAGTGTAGTTTTTTTCAGAAATGTTGTAGTTTGATGTTCAAGAAGATTGAAATAAAATAAACTCAGCTTTCTATATTTAGTCAGGGAATGCCAGACTTTGACTAGACCGTTGGACCAACTCCATTATTTTCTGTTGTGGCTCTTCAGTGTGGATGTGTGACTGAGTGAAGAAGATGTAAAGTTATTTTTATTTTTTTTTTGCTTTAAATGGTTTGCAAACAGAAGCACAAATAGTGTCAAACAACAAAAAGGAAAAATGCCTGCAGCTACAATAAAACTACTTCTTGTTTTCACAGTACGGCAATATATTTTTAATTAAATGCTTACAGAATACCATATTTTTCCTTTTCTTATAGTAGTTTTCCAACAGCTTGCAGGATTTAATTTCTTTACATATTCTGCGTTGGTTTGGAGAAAACCGAAAACATTCACCATCAACCATTAGATTTTTAATTGACCCAAAATCTACTGATCTTATTTAACTTGCCAGCAATTTTTGTTTAAAAGATTCACAATAATCAGAACATCAGTTGGTCCATCTTTTACTTTAAATTTAGTTTCACCAAACTTTCCACTTGTGTAAAATGTCACTTCAGTGCTGGTTTGTTCATGCCACAGTTTGTGATTTTAATAGTTTTCGATAAAACTACAATAGGATTAAACATTTTTTACTTCTTTCATTTATAATCTGTGGTTGATTCATCAATAAATCCTAATGAGATCGAAGTATTTCTGTGGAAAATTGGACTGATAACACACAGGATTCTGCTTGCAAATTGCATCTTTTCACATGACAAAATATTTCCCAGCAGCAGGGATTTCACTCTTTAAATGTAAGGCAATTAAGGGAATAAAATGGTAATTTCTTTGCAGACAGAGGAGACTATAATGAGAGGAATGAAAGCAAGAGCAGCAGACAGGATAAGAGACAGAAACGAAGAACAATTTACATAAAATCCTTAGAATTTCACGTTAGTATTTTCTCATAAAGCCATAATCTCTCCTTTTACTATATAAAAAACTTTTCCACCAGCTGTAGTGGAAATATGTGAGCAAAATTTAAATGGAAGAAAACTTTATGCACAACTTTTAATGAAAAGCAGCTCTTTTTTATGTTTCTTGGCGCTGCTGGTTTTGTGTCGTTGGAGAGGAAATGGGCAGAGAAAGTCTGAAAATCAAAACCTGAACCCAGAACAGCGGCGATGAGGACGGCAGCGTCTGGACGCCCGCTGCAACATACGGCTGACTAAAACTGTGGTTTTTACTTTCTAAATTAAATCTCAGGGTAACAAAGCGTTTTCATGTGGATCTAAAGAGTAATTCTGATCGGTCAATATCGGTTTCATCTCTGTTCAAAGGCTTATTGATTAGTTAATTGA